AAAATGGAGAATAAAATTTCAGACAAAAGTCTTGATGCAAGTATGCTCTTTATTTCTAACTCTATTCCAAATCTATATTCATGAAGCATTAAACAACTGGAGAAGAAAATGCACAGGGATTGGGATAGAACTTGGGAACAAGTACATGTCAAATCTTTTTATCGCAGACGATCGAGTGATTATGGCAAACGATGAACAAGACATGGATTATGTGATTAGAAACTTACATAAACATCAACACAACGAAATATCTTAGAATAAAGGATGAAGAAAGAGACCCACAAGTCTCGATTAGAGATATAAAAAATGCATATGTAATGTGGATAATTGTACATAATATGTCTCTTGTTGTTGACTTCTTTATTGGCAACCAAAGCCTGCTACATTCTGCTGATGGGTTTGCTACACATTTTTCTTCATTTAGTAGGGTGAGAGTTACTTCTTTGAATTTTGTCCATTGTACTTCATTGTACCATTGTACAATATTTCGACCATAAGCTCCAATATAAATATACATTTGAAAACTCTCAGGGGCACAAATCTATGATCGATTTTATAGTCACTAATAGAAAAATCCACCCAAAGCAGATCCGAACTTTAAACTCAGCAGACGCAGGGAGTGAATACAAACTAGTACTAGCAAAAATAAGAATGAAAATAATACCAAAACATTTTCTACAGGAAATCACCAATAAAAAATTCAATGTAGAATCACTGTGGAACGACTCTACAAGGGAAATGTACCTAAGGAGGCGCTAGCACAGAAGATACAGCTGAAACAAATAGACGACATCGATGATATAAACTCGAGCTGGAAGAAAACGTTATTGAAGTTGTAAGAAGCAGCAACAAAATCGTACTGAACAAAATAAAAGACAACAATACACCATGGTTCAAAAAAGAAATAAAAGAGTAATGTAAAGAGAAACGAGAGGCCTACACGAAGTACAAAACATCAAATACTCCAGAATCCCGAGACGCCTATAGAAGAATACGAAATGAAACAAAGCAGTTGGTAAGGAGAACAAAAATGAACTCTGGGAACAGTTTACAAAAAGGATGGTAAGCGACTTCTACGGTACACAAAAACAAATATGGAGATTCATAAGAAACCAATGGAAAGAAATGACAGAATTGAAGGAATACAATAACATACCAGCAAACGAATGGGAAAGATACATGACGGAACTGTTTAAAGGAAAGAAAATAATATTCAACTCAGTGGTTGAATTAAGACACGAAATAGAAATCAGTTTTCAGGAAGTAGAGATAGTCATAAATTAACTTACAAACCTACAACGACAAAACTTATACAAAAACTAATATTGCACTGCAAGATATCAGATGCATGGAGAAACAGCATAATGATACCAATGTTCAAAAAAAAGAGAGAAAGAAGACCCCGCGTAGACGCCGTATTTGTACTAAGACAAATCTCAGAAAAGGCCATCGAGTACAATAAACCAGCATATTTATGTTTTGTAGACCTGACAAAGGTTTTCAATCTCATCCAAGTCGACGACGTCTTACACCTACTGTATAAAAGAAACATACCAATCCATATTATACAATCCATCGAAAACATCTATTATAACATAATCGAATGCAGGCAAAGATTAGTGGAAAACTAACACAGTGTATACCAGTACAAAGCTAAGTCAAACAGGGTGACTCGTTAAGCCAACTTCTCTTAAATGTAATAATGGACGAACTAATACAAGCAGTACGTAAACGTCATGGTTACAGAATGGGGAACAAAGAAATCTAAATAATATGTTATGCAGACGACGCCGCTTTAATTGCCGAGACAGAAGACGAGCTCCAAAGATTAACACGCATGTTCAATACAACAGCCAAGAAATACAATATGAATTTTTTTTTAACCTATTCTCTATCCTTCCATTGTTGGATATAGGTCTCCCCCAGTTCTCTCCATCTTTCCCTATCTTGAGCTGTTCTCTGCCATGTGGGACCTCCTTGTTTCCTGATGTCATCTTTCCACCTCATCTGTGGTCTGCCTCTTGATTTCTTTGCATTGTATGGACGCCACTTTCCGATGGCATTGTTCCATCGTCTATCTTAGAGACGTTCATTGTGTCCAGCCCATTTCCATTTCAGTTTTGCTGCTTGTTCTATCGCGTGTACTGTCTTTGTTCTGGTTCTGATCCACTGGTTACGTTTTCTATCTTTAAGTGATATACCAAACATTTGTCTCTCCATCGCTCTTTTTGCCTTCCTTATCCTATCCAAATTGGCCTGTGTAGATGTCCATGTATGTGCTCCGTAGGTGAGCACCGGTATTATACAGGAGTTATATACCTTGCTTCGTAAGTATAGAGGGATTGTTTGATTTTTTAGAACGTAAGAAAGTTTGCCGAACGCTGCCCATCTCATTCTTACTCGTCTCGATATTTCGGCTGTTTGATTTTCTCTGTTAGCTCTGATTGCTTGTCCTAGAAAGATATATTCATTTACCTGTTCTATTTTTTCTGTTTGTATTTTTTTTATTGCCTCTTGGTCTTCCGTGTTTGTCATTACTTTTGTTTTGTTGAAGTTAATTTTTAGGCCTTTTTGCAGTGATTTTTCATGAAGTTCATTCAGCATTAATTCCAGTTCTTGTCGTTCCGAGGAGATCAGGAGTATATCATCCGCATATCCAAGGTAATTTAGGTATTTTCCGTTAATACATATTCCTGTTTTCCCAATCTGTTGATTTTATTATGTCTTCGAGGGTCAAGGTAAACAGTTTAGGTGAAATTATATCGCCTTGTCGGACTCCTCGTTTAACTTTTATATTATCCGTTATTAATTTGTCGTCCAGAATTACGGTTATGGTTGCGTTTTAGTAAATATCATGTATCAATTGTCGGTATCTTGATCTATTCTACTATTGACCAGAGCTTCTTCAACCGCCCAGTGTTCAATGATGTCGAAAGCCTTTTCATAATCTACGAATGCTAAGTACAGCGGAAGGTTGTATTCATTGGTTTTCTCAATTAAGATTTTAAGCGCATGTAGATGGTCGATTGTGCTGTATCCTTTCCTGAATCCGGCCTGTTCCACTGGTTGGTAGTTATCAAGTTTATAGGTTAGTCGGTTGTTTATTATTCTTGTGAAGGTTTTATATAGTTGTGACAAAAGGGAAATAGGACGGTAGTTGTTTAGGTCTGTTCGGTCTCCTTTCTTATGTGTTAAGATTGTGTTGGCATTTCTCCATTGTTTAGGTATTTTACCTTCAAACAGACATTTGTTCAACAGTATTTTTAGCATTTTTTTTATCGTGTCTCCTTCTTTTAGCAGTTCCGCCAGTATTTTGTCCTCACCGGATGCTTTATTTCTTTTCATGTCGTTTATGGCTTTTTCGATTTCATCTTCAGTTATTTCTGGTAATACCTCTGAGCCAACATTTTGTATTTTCCTCGTGAGATTCTGTTTAGATGATAGTGGTGGGTCATTTTTAGAACTGTATAGGTCTGTGTAATATCTTTCTGTGATTTTTACCTAGATCTCTTTCTTCATTGTTCTCAGCTTTAAGCATGATTAGTTTTCTTTTTCCTATATTTGTCTTCATTGTTTTTAAACTTTTGTTCTTCTCTGTGATTTTCTTAATGCGATCTTCTTGGTATTTCTTTAAATCTTCCTCTATCTGTTTTCTTATGGTTTTGTTCAGTTCGGTAAACTCCACTGTATTTCTTTTGTTATCATTCAGGAGTTGTCGTCGTTTTTTTAGCATATCTTGTGATTTAGCGCTAATTTTTTGTTGTTTTCGCTTTTGTTTATTAGCAATCTTCAGGCCTGCTTCTAGTAATACAATATGAAATAATATATCAATAATATCAAAAATAATATTAGCGGAAAAATCCAAATGTATAACAACATCTAAATACCCACTACGATGTAAAATCGAAATTGATGGGAAAATAATAAAGCAGGAAACAAGGTTTAGATATCTGGGAATAGATATAATTAGTTACGGAAATGTTGAAGAAGTACGACAACAAGGCTTAAAAGCAAGTAAAGCGGCGGGATCTCTTAATGACACAATCTGGAATGGAACAAACACCTAAGACACGGCACAAAACAAGAATCTATAAAGCAGCAATTAGACCTATATTAACATACACGGCGGAGACAAGACCTGACAGATCTAAAACGAGACCACTACTAGAAACAACAGAGATGAAAATACTTCGACGGATATCAAGGAAAAGTCAGTTGGATAGGGAGAGAAGCGAAAACATAAGAAGAGCATGCAATATAGAAAACATAAATGGAGGGGTGACAAAACGGAAACAGGAGTGTAACGGCCACATTAGTAGAATGGCAGAGGATAGGATAGTACGAATAGCACGAGATAAGTCGCCAAATGGACGAAGAAGTATTGGCAGACGAAGAAAAAGATGGTGCGACAATTTAAACAATTTAAGAGGCTAATATTGAAGAAGATACATGCTTTAAAGCCTATATACAAGAAAGAAGAAGGAAGTACTTTATTGAACTCTGTGCTCATTGTCCCAGGCATCTTTGCATATCTGTAATTTTTCAATATCTGTAACATTTCAATGAACAAAAAGCGCACCGAAAATAAAAACCAAAAATTCGGTTATTTGAATTTTTTCGCATAAATTTGAGGTTATGTGAAAAAAGTGTAAATAGAAAAGGTATTTATGTTACTATTTTTTTGTCTCTAAAATTATCGGCCCTGGTCCATAAATTTAAAACTTCTCCAGAAAAGTTTGAGTTTATTTTATAGGCACATCCTTGGAATATCTTATCGATTTGTTTGAATAAAAAGATTATACATATTTAATAACCTGTAAAATGATAAAACAATCTAATATAATTTTGTTTGCTTAATTAAAACTTTTAAAAGTTATCAAGCCTATACATTTAATTTAAATTAATACGTTTATGTACTTGTTTCTTTCGCAACACTGTCACAAACAAATCACATAGGCAAAAACACTTACATGTCTTGCTGATTAATTTGAACGTTTTAGGTGGAACCGGATGTTCTTAAATTGAAAGGAATCATCGGAAAACTTCTTTCAGAATGGAATTGTTCCCAAGTTCTAAGAGATGAACGAGTCCATGAAGTTTGCCGTTATGGAGGTGCAGAAATTCACTCAGTTTCAGCCGTTTTGGGAGGTTGTGCAGCACATGAAGTGATTAAATTGATAACACATCAGTACAAACTTTTGAATAACGCTTTCATTTACGACGCAATTAGCTCCAATTCTGCTACGTTTTGTCTTTGACTTCATTATTCGTATTTTATAAGTTAATTAGTGAAATATAAATTAAAGCCGTTATAGATGAGTAAATTATTTTTTAGTAGGACCTATTTTTTTTAATGAAAAAGAAATTTTTTCATTGTGTAAATTTAAGATCGAAGACAAAAAATTGATTGTCATTCTATTTCATTTTATTTTTACATTGATTATATTTTTGAAATAACTTCACTTAATATATCTGCAACCACATGCCATTCTATGTACACATAATATAAATTTCTACAAAATTGTTTATAATCATCTAAAAAATATGAAAATTGATATTCAAAAAATTTAAATATATTGAAAATATGAATAATATGAAAAACATAAGAAAAAGGAAAGAAAGAAACATGCACAAAGAAAGCCTATACCTCGGAGGTGTTGAATCGGGTTTAGGTCTTAATGCTGTGAAAAAAGTATTTTAGTATTCAGTATTAATTATTATAACGTCTTTATTAATTCTAATTTTTTGTTTTTAATTTAATTTACTAAAGGTTCAATATTTATAACACAAACTTAATTTACTTAAAGTTTATTTACAATAATTTATCCTACAATAATTTATTATATTACGACCGTTACATTTAACTACCCGTTCGCGATTTTCTTTTCTAACTGGATTCCCCACAATAAAAATCCTGTTATTTATATGATATGCAGTCAGCATAGGATCTCTCGTGAAGCAGACGGAGGTTGACCTGAATAGTCTCGAACTGGTTTTTATAGCGACCTGTTTCCAGAAAGTTCGATTGGTAGTTGACCGCTTTCATATCGGAGGGGGACCCATCGTGTCAGGTAGGTTTTACCTGGAATTTCTACTATCAGGTCCAATCTGGAACATATAAGAATTAAACAACATGTTTACAGGTTTTTTTTTATTATGACCAATTTTTACGTAACATTATTATTATTAGTCTTTATTAACATAATGCATCTCAACTCTAACTACAAAATTATAACCCGACAAGTGAATGCTGGCGGGTGACGCGTAGAACAAATTGAAAAATGGAAGGGATTTCTCATTTCTATTGCAATCGGCTAGAAGCTCACATCGTGTAATCAGTACTAGATTTCTGACAGTGTTGTCAAGTATTTACATTTTTAATTGGAATGGCCGTATTATTATAAAATATTATTTATATTTATTAAAATGGCAAGTGCATTAAAAGGCAAACCTTTGGGATCTCACGCACGAGAAATAATTTTCAATGTTTTCAAGTTTACCACCGAAGAAGCTAATGCAGATAAAGTTAATTAGTTGATTTAAAAAAGACACAAGAACGTGTAGCTCAATTAACTGGTAATTATAATAGTCATTTATTTTTAAAATAAATTCAGGTTTAAATAATTTAATTTAAGTTACAATCAATAAAATTATAATCAACAAATAAATAAAAACTTACAGAACAAAAAAATACCAGTAAATAATAAGTAAACAATGGATCAGCTAATTAGTACTTTATAGTTCACTAGTATTGATAATATAATTGTTATTTTAAGTGAAATTGTTATATATTTCATTTATAATTTGTCTGCATTTTTCGTAAAAGGGAATGTGGGTTTTTGCGTGCTGGATATTCGAGCAGCGAATGGTTTGATGAAATTGTAAAGAGTACCGCTTTGATTATAGAGATAGGAAAGATACCGCATTAATTCCTGTCTTCTTAAATCTAATGGTAGTTTACCGAGTTCGGCCTGAAGACTTAAGATAGGGGTTGTTCTAAATAAACCGCTTATTATTCTGAGAGCGTTATTTTGAATGGTGTCTAAAACTTTTAAGACCCGTTTACACGGGTAGAGTAATGATGCAAGTACTTGGTAGAGTAGAGTAACTCTACCCGTAAAAACCCGAAAAAACGTTCAGCAAAGTAGAGTAGCAAGTAGAGTGCATAGTAGGTAGTAGAGTCGAGTGACTAGCAACATGTGGCAAAGTAACTCTACTCTACTACCACCACCACCGCCAAAATTTCCACTCGCCTGCGCACTCTACTCATGGAACGCGGTGAATTCTGGTAGAGTAGAGTAGGTAGAAGAGTGCATAGGGACGCTGTCATTCCAGATGGAGTTGTGTTTTATGTAAAAATTAAAAATGAAGTTCACCGAAGATGAAACTTTAAAACTTGTAGAGATGTATGGAGAATACCAGTGTTTATGGAATTTAGGTAGTGTACACTACAGAAATAAAAGTATGAGGCAAGCTGCGGAGGATGAAATCGTCGAAAGAATGGCAAAAGAGGGTTTTGGAGTAAACGAGCTCAAGCAAAAAATTAAGAATATAAGGTGCACCTATAATCAAGAGTGTTTAAAAATACAAAAATCAAAAAAATCGGGTTCAGGTTCAGCCGATGTATACGTTCCGAACGTGAAATGGTTTACTCCTATGGAAGCAATCATGAAAGGTGCAAAAGGAAACAAGAAAACTGAAGGCTCACGGGTAAGTTACAGGTTTTTATTACTTGTTAATGAAAAATACAATAAGAAATAAAAAATGTATTCTTATCAAGATAAAAGTGAACGATTGTATATCAGATTTGACAGTAAACCGGTTGGCTGCCATATAAACTTGTCCACCAATAATTACAAATTTAATGCAACGTTGATTTTGTTTGTTCATAGAGTTAAAAAACGGACACTGAGCATTATACCCGTTCCCACCTGTCGTGTGTCGGATCCGTATATTAATCGGATGTCAGCATTTCTATCCTATTATTATATTATCGGAAGCTGGCAAATTTTTACAATATACGCGAGAGAACTGTGAGAGAGTACATAATAAACGAAATTGTATGTATAAGAAAATCAGCATTTTTAAAAGTGCCGATAAGATCATTATGTTTACCCATTACTTTTTAATCTTCTCAGATATGGTACTTGGAAATTTGTAAATTTATACTACAAACGATATTTAAAAACTAGACTAAACATACATAATAGCATTCATATAAAAGTGTGTAGGTTATTTATTTTTCCCAACTCACGACAAGTGGGAACGGGCTATAGTTCCGAAATTTTATGACAAATCTTGTTAAATACAAATTACAAAAAGTTGTACAATTCTTCATAAGGTTGTTCTAGTTAATAAATGTCATACACAATACAAAGTAATATCTCAAGTCAAAACACATTCTTATATTGCCATGGAACAGCTCCTTCATTGTTAAAATAGGTCATTAAGCGATCTCTCACTTTCTTAGCCATGGCTGTTGACTGAGAGCCACCATATGGTTCAAGATTTCTTAGTTCATTGATTTCGTTTCGCCATTGCCCTGGAATGACAGATCCGTTGTCAGTAATTTCCTTATCGACACAGCCATTGACAAAATATGATTCTGGGGATGTTTCTCTTAGCCAGTTGTGAAGGCTACAGGCTGCGGTAACTACTTTATTTACTGTTGTTAGCTGTACGGCTAAGTGTCTTTCGAAAATCCGGAAACGACTAACTAATATTCCAAATGCATTCTCCGAAATTCTTCTTGCCCTGCTCAAGCGGTAATTGAAGACTTGTTCATTTACGGTAAGACGTCTTCGGTACCCACTGTATGGCTTCATCAGGTACATTTTAAGCGGAAATGCATCGTCCCCAACAAGGAATAGACCATCGGGTAGAAGACTGTTCTCTAATGCTTCATATATATTGCAATTTTGAAATACACCTCCATCTGAATTAGATCCTTTGAAACCAACATTGATATAACTGAAGCAGTATTTATGATCAACAACAGCCATAAGTACCACGCTGTGCTGCCCTTTATAATTATAATATTCACTGCCAGAGTTGGGAGGTGCCTTAATTAAAACGTGTTTGCCGTCTATAGCCCCACAGCAATTTGGAAAGTTCCAATGCTCCTTAAAACCCTCAGCCACAGTGTTCCATTCGTCTCTGGAAGGAACCTGAAACCAAAATTTAAAATTCCCTCTTAACATTTACTAATTTAGTTTTTGTTTTATTTTTTGTTTGTTTTAGGAAACAACCATTTCACACAATACAGAGTCGAAATATCCACTCAACACAGAATCACAGGAAGAGGAAGGGACTATCGATGATCCAGATCAATCAGTGGAAAATATAACTCTACCACAAACATCGAGCTGCCAACAAACACCATCTCGTAAGCAATCGGCATCGGAAACATTTAAACGACGGCCTGCAGGCAAAAAGAAGAGACTTGACAATCTAACACAAGCAGTGAAGGACCTTCAACAGGTTAGTCAAAATATCCATGACGACCGGATGGACAGCAATGAGAACGAAGCGTTTGGAAATTTTGTTTCAGCGAGCTTGAATAATTTACCACCGGAACAAGCTGTGGTGGCCCAACATGAGATTCAGGGAATTCTGATGAAGCACAAACTAAGCGTTTTATCCTCAGCAAACTGCTCAGTACTCCAACTCAACACACCACCAAGTTTACCAGTGCACATGTCTCACAGCACCCCTGCATACTCCGTTTCATCAGGATGCAACTCCCACCAGTCATTTTACACCAATTCTCCACTTGGCAGTCCTACGAGTAGCAGTGCTCAGCAAATGGCGTCTTCGTCACTCGTTACTCAACAGCAACAGTATCCAGATGGTAACAGTATCCATCTACAAGATGCAGCTGTGAATCCTGAAGATTCAGATATTCTGACACGTGCTATGCAAATGACTTATACACAGGTTTAATATTTAAACGGGACTTGCTTCACCGAAGTTTCTGTGGTGTACCTTTTTCAACATTTATCTGAAGTACTATTTTGTTATTTTACGAATTTTCAATTAAAACTATTTTTTGTAATGCGTGTACCTGTTTATTCACCCTGTTATTGAAACTTACCTTTATTGACTCCTCCAATACTTCGGAGATGGCATCACACACCTCGGGGACCAACTTTGAAATTGCAGGTCTTGAAACCCTAAAAAAATGAGAAAGGCTTCGATAGCTGTTGCCTGTAGCTAAAAAATTCAATGTAATCTCAAGCTTCACTCTTGGTTTTATTGCATCCCTCATAAACGTGTCTTGTCGTTCGATTTTGTCATGCACCATATTCAGAA